TTCCCTTGTTTGAGTTCCCACACTCTTCTTCATCTGGCAGGAGCCTCTGGGTTCCTCTTCTCTGCACCTCGCTTAGCTGATTCCCACCCCAAGGCAGAAGGGTCTTCATTCTCAGCAGCGGCACACAGAGGAGGTCCCAGGCCATTGGGCTACAGTGTCTGCTCATTAGGAAAAATGGGCTGGATCCAAACTGGAGACCGTTCTGCCAGTGACTAGTCTGCTCCGCTTTAAACCCTCAGGGGCATCAAAGATGAAGGAAGGGTGAGAGCATCTAGAGATGTCTCTGCCAGTAAAGAGTTTGTGAGAAAGAGGCCCCGAGGTCTGGGTCCCCAGCATCCATGTAAAACGCTGGGTATGGCAGTGTGTGCCTGTATGCCAGGATGGGGGGAGCTTCCTGGGGTTTGCTGGCTACCAATGTTAATAAATTTATGAGCTCTAGGTTCAGTGGGGTGAGCTGCCTTCAAAATGTAAGGTGGGGAATGACAGAAGAAGCTACCAGACATCTACCTAGCAGTCTCTGGACTCCACACGTGCACATATGCACACGCGTATACAGGAACATATGCACACACATGCACACACATGCACACCTGTAGACAGGAATATGCACACACGTGCACACACAAACATAGGAATATACACACATGCACACATGTACACAGGAACATATGCACATGTGGACACACAGTGAGAGAGAGAGATCTCCAGACTGAAGGAGATGAAGGAGACATGAGAACTAACTGCATGTGGGTCAAGATGAACGTTCGAGGGACAGCTAGTGAGATCTGACTTTGGAATAATGTGTTAACTTCTCCTGGGGAGACTTGAATGTTACTCACTGTAGTTAGGGTACCAATGACAGACAAAAAGAAACAACTCCATCCAAAGTTAGATTGGTAAACAATGAATTTATTGGACTTCCTTTATTTTTGATTTTGTCTTTTTTTTTTTTTTTCGAGACAGGGTTTCTCTGTGGCTTTGGAGGCTGTCCTGGAACTAGCTCTGTAGACCAGGCTGGTCTCAGACTCACAGAGATCCGCCTGCCTCTGCCTCCCACTGGGATTAAAGGCATGCACCACCATCGCCCGGCCTTTTTTTTTTTTTTAAGCCAGGGTTTTTCTGTGTAGCCCTGGCTGTCCTGAAACTTACTCTATAGACTATAGACCAGGCTGGCCTTGAACTCAGAGATCCACCAGCCTCTGCCTCCCAAGTCCTGGAATTAAAGGAATACACCACCACCACTTGGCTTATTGGGCTTTTATAGAAGCATAGGAGGGGGTGACTTACAGGAGTGTGGGTGACACCCCCAAAACCACACCAATGAAAAAGCTCACCCCAGCATTGGTGGTGACTTTCCAGAGCTATTTGTGTGGTGTTTCCCTCCTTAGTTAACCCTATTTTCTGTGTACTCTAGACCCTCCCAAGTCCGTTTACCACAGGAGCAGAATCCCCTGCAACTGGAAGGAGCACAGGAGTGGGGCTGGAATCTTGGGGGAGAGTCCAATGATCCTCCCTAGCCCCTTCCTTCTTTGAGGGAACATCAACAGGCCTGATCTCCAGGGTCTCGTAGATTAAGACGGTAATGGCTGCTGTGCTCTACGGACAGAAGCCCACAACACATCTTCCTATTGAATAAGGGCTCTTTATCAATGTCAAATGCCCCGGACCAGGAGCCTGTGAGAAGTTAGAGAGACGCCTTGTCCTCTCAGCACGTAGATACAGACTGGAGTCATCAGGGATGGAGCTGCTGCTGTCTGCAGCTTCCTCGGCATGGTGATGTTTATGTGCGTGACTTAAGTGCTAAGTGCGGAAGAAATGTGTAATTAGAGATTTGAGTGAAGGACATGTGGGGGCCAGAAAGATAGCTCAGTGAAGATGAATAAAGGCTTGCCAAGCCGGATGACCCAAATTTCATGCCTGGAACTCACATGGCAAAATGAGAGAACTGAGTCGGAGGGGGCAGGTATGCCTCTAATCCCAGTACTGGGGGGAAGCGGGAGGCAGAGGCAGGCAGATCTCTGAATTCAAAGCCAGCCTGGTCTACAGAGCGAGTTCCAGACAGCCAGGGCCAGACAGAGAAACACTGTCTTGAAAAACAATGGGGGAAAAAAAGAAGGAGAGCAGTGACTCCTATAAGCCGTCCTCTGATCTCTAAGACATATGCCTGCCTATATGCAAACAGGCACAGAAGTAAAATGAAAAAAAAAAAAGAGAGGATATGGCAGCTCATTATCTGCTAAGTTTCAGCAAGCTTGGGAGACTGGAAAAAATATATATGTGCACATAGAGTGTATATATATTATCTATCACAACTCTACATACACACATAGAGTATAGTGAATATATACATATAACACATATTGTATATACACATATAGTGCATATATTACATGTTATACACTCTCTATAGAGTATATATAATGTATACACTATACACACAAATAAAGAATATAAACAATATGCACACTACATATACATACACTATGCATGATATACACATTACATATATACACGTAGTATATAATGTATATTATACACACATAGACTACAAAGCATACATTCATTTTATATATATATATAAATATACACACACGTGAGATATATATAACTTGAGAGAAGGACTGATTTTCCAGTATTGGCAGCTGAACTCGTCTTGTATATGTGCAGCGAGTCCTCTACCACTGAGCTGTGCCTTAGTCTTCCCCACCGTTTTGTTTTCTGTGGCACTGGGGCTGAAATCCCAAGTCTTTTTTTGTCTGTTCTTTGTTTGTTTGTTTGGTTGGTTGGTTGACTGACTGATTGGTTTTTGGGTTTTTTTGAGACAGGCTTTCTCTGTGTAACAGTCGTGGCGGTCCTGGAACTGGCTCTGTAGACCAGGCTGACCTCGAACTCACAGAGATCTGCCTGCCTCTGCCTCCCGAGTGCTGGGATTAAAGGCATGCGCCACCATTGCCCTGCAAAATACTAAGTCTTGAACAAGAAAAGAACATGTTCTGTCAGGTCTTGGACACTCTGAGGGCTCTGCCTTCCTCTCTGGAGAAGTCCTGAGCCGGGAAGGAGAAGCGAGGGGGAAGCAGAGGAAGCTCGTGAAGAGAAAGGTCAGAGGGAGGAGGCAGGAAGCCAGAGCTGAACCTCTCTCTGCCAGGCTCAGATAACAGACAAATACTGTCACACCTCAGTCAGAAACTTAACTGACCGCTCAGAACCAAACTCTACTTTCAGCATGAGGTAAAATGGGATGGAGGGAAGCTCTGCCTGGAAAATACCAGGAGGTCTTCGGGGAGGATGTGGGTCACTCACTCAACACACGCTTACTGCACGAGTCCTGGGGACCCAGCCCAGGTCAGGGACATGGGGCTCAGAAACACTGAGAATGTCTCCATGAAATGAAGACTTCATGCTCCCCCTGAAGCCTGACACGCAGCAGGTTCTCAACAGGAACTGCTGACTGCTCTTAGTCCCTTACTGAGGGTCTCTGAAGGGACAGCTCTTGGAGGAGGCTGAATCAACACATGTCTACCCAACAACAGGAGAAACTGACAGCCTCAATGTAGCCGGCCTGAGTTGTGTCAGCGCTAGAGCAAATCTTTCGATTCAACGCAAAGAAAACAAATCCTGGAAAGCAGCCACCTTAGTCTGGGTTCAAAAAAGGACCCATCTGTCTTGGCAGGTTCATAGGAGTTCCTGCCCTGAGGCTGAGGCCTGGCCGGAATGACCCCAGGAGGCCCTTCCCTGCCTTAGAATTCCGTGATTCTATGACATGGCCCGCAGTCTGAAGTGGCAAACTGTGGGTGTCCCCAGCAGAGAGCCAAGGAGGTCTATGTCATCTACCTCCTAAGAGCCAGGGTAAGAGAGAAAGAACCATACAGCAGTCAGAAAGGGTACCACAGACCAGGAAGGGGAGGGCACTTGAGCTGGGGCAGCTGGCTGTCTCCTCTTGTTTTTCTAAAATGGGGGATGAGGTGGGGTTGGGCCAGGCAGGGAAGACAGGCCAGGGCTTGGACATTCCACCCATTTTAGACCCAAAAGACAAGGGCAGCTGAGGGGCCGGGGCAGCGAGAGGGATTTGCAGCTGTTTTCTGGGTGGGGCAGGCTCAGTTACTGCTCTGTTGGCACCAAGCAAATATCAGAAGTCAGGCAGAGCTGGTAGTAGTGGGGGTGGAGGACTGGACAGTATTGGAGACCCATGGGAGCAAAAGGGAACTACAGGGACAGGACACAGCTTAAAGGAATCAGCATGTCTGTGGCCTGGCCAGGTTTAGGCTCCATAAAATGCCTACTTCAGGATCAGAAAGAGTGGGAACTCTGCGTCTCTCTGTTCAAGTGGGGGCAAATGAAGAAATCCCATACTGTCAGAGAAGTTTAGAACCAAACAACCTGGCAGGATTTTTTGAGATTCATGTAGCCCAGGATGGCTTTGAAATCACTATGTGGCTAAGGCAGCCCTCGAACTCTCTCTCCTTTGTGCTGGGAGTAGACGCCCTGTCACCTGAGACTAGACTACTGCTTTCCTCCCTTAGGTTGCAGTCTGTAAGATGGGGGAGGTAAAGGGCCGAGTGCAGAGCTGGAGTTGACAGCATGGGGTCTGGGAGCGATGACTTGTGCTCCTTAGCACTGTGGGTTAGCCTTTGGGTGTCATCTAAGGCCGTCTCTGTTTCATTCAACACTAGAGACTCCGTCGTTTGGCTTTTGTGGTCTACTGGGGTCCCTGCTCTGGAGTGTGAGAAATGAGGTCTCAGCAGGCTGCCCCATGTTTCCCAGTGAGGCAGCCCTCTCTCTGTCTCCTGCTGTCGTCGTCAGGTCTTGGACACAATGATGGCCCTGCCTTTCTCCTCACTTCTCTTGCTTCTCCTGTGCTTTCTGGAGAAGTTCTGAGCCCGGGAGGAGAAGGGAGAGAGTGCAGCAGAGGAAGCCCATGAAGAGGAAGGTCAGAGGGAGGTGGCAGGGAGCCAGAGCTGACCTGACTCTCTCTTTGGCAGGTCCAGGTAACCAACCAAACACCTCAGAAACCTGACCCAGCCAAGATGTCTGGACGCCAAGTGAGTCGATCCAACACTTACAGCCTTTTGAGCCATCCCAGCAACGCTTCCTTTCCTCCCCGAACTCCAGGCTGGATGCAGTACTCCAATATGAACAATGTCAAGGGCTCGAGTATCCGTTTCCCAAGTGGCTCTGAGTTCAGCACCCCCAGCGGCCCCTCCGAGCAGTCCTTCGGCTCTGCCTCCACAAGTCTTCAAAAGAGGAGAATCTGCATGGGCCGGCCCTATAACTCCAGGTGTGTAGAGACCAGTCACCTGGTGAAGGGCCCCAAGGTGGCCAAAAAGCCCGCTTCTCAACGCAGCAACCCCCATTGCCTGCTCTGCACAGACCGTCCATCAAGCCCCTCCAGCCCTACCTTCCTGGACCAACTCATCAAAGGCATCAACTACCTGGACAGATCCACCAACATTTTCAGCAGCAGCTACCCCAAAGCTCTGAGCTTGCCTCAGCTGGCGGCCACCTGCCTGGAACGAGCTGCCAACTCGCTCTACCTGGACCCAGTGGACCAGGCCCCACCCCGTAGCTATTCTACTCCCAGCACAAACATAACCACTGCCTCCCATCACTATCCAACCTCCAACCGGGACACCAGCTCGCTGCAGTGTGTGGGTGGTCCCGCTGGCCTGAGCTGCCAACACCAGGTTCATAACCAGAGCTTCTCTGCCGAGATGCCTCAGAGGCCAGGTGTAAAACTTCCAGAGATCCCTCTGTTTGGCAATGGGTTCTTTTCCTTAGGTCGTCTGCCCAAGGTCTGGGAAGCAATACACTCCGGATGGAATGCCCCCGAACCCACCTCTAAGCCCGAGGGCTGGTGGTGACATGGATGCCACTTTTGTCCAGTGGGCACCGGCCACAGTGTGGAAATAAATTATCATAAGACAAACCAGGGGTTCTGTTTTTTTTTTCCTCCCAAAATGGAGTCTCAACTCTGTTGCTCAGGCTGACCCCCTGACACAAGCACCCCACTTCCCTTTTTTAAATTTTGAGACAAGGTTGTCCTAGTCAGAGTCCCTAGGGCTGTGATGAAACACCATGACCAAAAGCAGCTTGGGGAGGAGAGGGTTTATTTGACTGACACTTCCACATCACTGTTCATCACTGAAGGAAGTCAGGTCAGGACCTAAAGCAGGGCAGGAACCCGGAGGGAGGAGCTGATGCAGAGGCCATGGAGGGGCGCTGCTTACTGGTTTGCTCCTCTTAGCTTGCTCGACCTGCTTTCATTCAGAACCCAGGCCCACCAAAGTGTTCCCACCCACAAGGGGTTGGGCCCTCCTGCAATGACAACTAAGAATTGGCCTACAGGCTTGTCTACGGCCAAATCCTACAGAGGCGTTTTCTCAGTTGAGGTTCCTTCCTCTCCAATGACTATAGGCTGTGTAAAGTTGATCTAAAAAAACTCGCCAGCCCGAGGGTCTTATATAGCTCAGGCTGTTCTCAAATTCTATGTAGCCAAGGATGAACTAAAACTCCTGCTCCCCCTGCCTTTACCTCTAGAGTGCTGGGATTACAGATAGATACTGCCAGACTTGGTTTATGCAATGGTTGGGATCAAACTCAAGGCCTAATGCATGCTACCCACTGAGCTTGTCCCCAAAGGCCATTTTTCTAGCCCCGATTCTCTATTGGCTAAGAGGTGTGAACAAGCTTCTGTTTGAGATTTTTTTTTTCTTTTTTGAGATACGGTTTCTTTGTAGCTTTGGAGCCTGTCCTGAAACTCATTCTGTAGACCAAGCTGGCCTCAAACTCACAGAGATCTTCCTGCCTCTGCCTCCCAAGCACTGGGATTTAAGGTGTGCACCACCACCACCTGGCGAGATCTGATTTTTTTTAAAATTACAGTGTGTGTGTGTGTGTGTGTGTGTGTGTGTGTGTGTGGTGTGCGCTTGCACTATTCTACTATGTAAGAACGGAAACCAGAGGACAATTTGCAGAAGTCAGTTCTCTCCTAACGTGCGAGTCTAGCTGGGATTGAACTCGGGTCCTCAGGCTTAGCCGCAAGTGCCTCTACCTGCTGAGCACCTCACCAGTTCCTGATTTTTTTTTCTTGTTAGGAACAAAGGTACAAATGTCACAGTGCCCTCTGAATGAACAAAAAATGACTTGCGAGTGAGTGGAAAGCCCACTAATCTCAGAAATCTCCAGCTCGTCTCTCTCGTAGAACTGTTTCTACACGGTGGGAGCGGTTCTCATCTCTGCTCTTTTTTATTTACTTACTTATTTATTATGTATACAATATTCTGTCTGTGTGTAAGCCTGCAGGCCAGAAGAGGGCACCAGACCCCATTACAGATGGTTGTGAGCCACCATTTGGTTGCTGGGAATTGAACTCAGGACCTTTGGAAGAGCAGGCAATGCTCTTAACCTCTGAGCCATCTCTCCAGCTCCCTCTGCTCTTTTTTGAGGCAGGGTCTCATGTAGCCCAGGCTGGCCCAAGAACTCCGGAGTTAGTTCTGTGATAACAGGTGTGAACCACTGAGCCAGAACACAACATAATGTGTCCTCCTTCGCATGGACACAACAGACCTTTTTGATGGCAGCCAGACTTCTCCATGGGAGGGAGGCGACCCTGCTGGGTGCTCTCCGAAGTGACCAAGTCCATCTGGACTGGATTGGGCTCGATGGGGTTAGGATGAGGTGGTCTTTCCTTCAGCTACCTCGAATGTCTGGGAAGATATTGCCTGGGCTGCCGAGGACTCAGATCCCAACTGATTTAGATTCAGGGATATCGGCCCCATAGGGAACCTAGCCACCCCCGAGGCCTTGGATCCTCTGCTCTGCCCTCCAGGTCTGTTTTCCCCATCTGCAGTTTGGATGTATAGCTTCACTGATCTATGTGCTCCTGGACTCGTGTTCCTGAGTGTGTCCTCTTGTCCCAGGCCTGGCCTGGAGCCTCTTAGACTGAGAACCGAGAGTGATCCACACAAACACTCTAGTTCCTGCGGTCCCCAGCTATCTTGCTGGGCTTCCCATCACTCATTGCCCACCTTAGGGCCCAATTCTGTCTGATTGGAGACTTGAGACCTCGTCTTTATTGTTGACACTCTTGTCTCCCTGGCAACATGAAGGCCAACAGCATCTCTGAGTATAGAATGGGGATGCTTGAGAAAATACAGAGAACTTCGAGGCTCCCAAAGTTCCTTTGTGCTTAGAAACAACAGTGACCTGCTGAAGTCTGTTTGGCAAGTTCTTATGGTCAAGCAGAGAGGGTAACAGACCAAGAATCCCCCTCATGGGAGCACAAGGACAGGAGGAAGGAAAAAGGAGCCATCGAGCTTCTGGTCCTTTGAGTTCATGAATTCACTTCTGTTTTTGATTCCTTCTTTGGTTCAGGGCTCAGCATGCAGCAATCTCTGTTCTCTGTCCCTTATTCCTCTCCTCGCCAGGATAAGATGCCCACTTAGTCCACACTGACCAGCTTCCCTTCCCCCGATGGACAATCACAGGAACAGTTTGGCACAATCCTTTCTGCCCTAGCATGAGAAATAGAGCTGACTTTGGTGCCCTCTCAGCAGCTGCTCAAAGCCGCCACCGTCTGGACCTGGGTCAGTGCTCCTCTGGCTCTGAGGCAGAAGAGCAGGCTACACCTCTGGCTTTTCTAGAAATGTTCCCCTCCAAAAAGGTCCAGTTTCCTTGAATTGGAATGCAGGGCTCTCTCTCTCTCTCTCTCTCTCTCTCTCTCTCTCTCTCTCGACATTTGTCACTCTTCACACTACCAGCACCTGGCCCAGTTTGGCTCACAGTAAATCCTTTTTATAATGTTAGTGGACGCTGGACCTCGTGGCCAACAGGTGCTCCATAATGGTGACATTGCTCCCCTCAGAAGTATGACAGAGCCTTACTTGTGGATGTTCAGTAACTCGTGCTATTAATAACACCCGTCAACATTCATTTAACTCTTTTTTTTTTTTTTTTTGGTTTTCGAGACAGGGTTTCTCTGTAGCTTTTGGAGCCTGTCCTGGAACTAGCTCTTGTAGACCAGGTTGGCTTTGAACTCACAGAGATCCGCCTGCCTCTGCCTCCTGAGTGCTGGGATTAAAGGAATGTACCACCACCGTCCGGCTATTTAACTCTTAATTATGTGCCAGGCACTATCTAAAGTGCTTTGGTTATATTCAATTCTTTCAAAAGGAAGATAGCTCTTCAGGATGTTACAAAAACAAAGAAAAGTAACTCTATTCTTCTTTTCCTGTCCCTTTGATGACTGGCAGCCGCGTAGGGAGAAAGGGTTTCTTTCCGCTCACAGTTCAAGGTGCAACCCATCGTGTTAGGGAAGTCAAAACAGTAGGAGTTTGAAGCAGATGGGGTCCCACTGAACCCACAGAAGGATGGATGAAGTGTCACCAGGCTTCCTCTCGCTTTTTGTGCAGTCTAGGGTCCTCGGCCAGGAAAGTGGTCCTGCCTATAGCTGCCGCAAACTAGTACAAACCATTTGAATGGATGCAAAGGGACTAAGGGCGGACCCTCCTGTAGGAAACAGAACAGACAGCGACAAATCCAATAATATGGCATGCCTCCATGCTGTGGAGTTAAGTTCAAAATGGTTCCTTTTAATCTTTCTTTTTAGTTCAAGGACTGGAGTCAGGACCTTATGCTAGCAGAGCACTTTGACTCTGAACTATAGGACAAGTTACAGGCTGACTTTGAACTCACGGTCTTCCTGTCTCAGCTTCCCAAGCATCCGGGACTACAAACCTGGAACTCACTATGTAGACCGGGTTACTCCAAAACTCACAGAGATCTACCCGCCTCTTCCTCCCGAGTCCTAACATTAAAGGAGTATACCACCATGCTACAACTTTTCTGTTAGAGATCTGCCTGTTAATTGTTCATCTAGTAACTAATCACTAAGTTTTGACTTGAAAGGGACTGCATTTTTCTTCAAAACAACAGAAGAAGCTAGAGGTAATAGCATGTACCCGTAATCACAGAGGCGAGCCTGGGCTATGAGACCCTTTTGTCAAAACAACCAAGAAAAGTATCTGGGGGAAAAAGTGTCAGAAAAGTGTGCACGTGTCTGAGAACAAAATATGTTGAGTCCCTAAAATGTAGACATCTCAGGGCTGTGACTCAGTTTCACCTAACTTAGGCCTATGTCAGAAGTAGAACTGAGACCAGGAGCTGCGGCACCATGGCTCCGTTTGCATCCCCACGCTCTTCCCAGGCACTAGGAAAGTAAGCGACAACGGCTTGGCCTGACCTCTGAAGCCCTAAGCCCACGCACTGGCTGCACCTAGCCATTTAATTGCCACATTGACTCTTTAAGGAAAGCACTCATGCCATTTTGTGGGACAGGACACCGTGGCACATAGGGACCCGGTTTAAATCATTTCAATCAGGTGCCTGGAACTCAGCGGCTTCCAGAGCCTCCTTGGCATCATCAGAGGGCACCGTGTCTGGAATAAGTATATGCTGTCATCTTTATTTTCATGATGACACTGGAAAGGAGCAAGCTCTCTGCGAATGCACACAGTGGGTACATAACGCATTCCACACATCGTCAGAGAACCCAGTGCGTAGTAGGTGCTCAGGTGAAGTTTGCTCATTGCCTGGAAATTAGATTACATCCTGTAGGGACAGGATCTCTGCCCTTGATCCAAACTGCTCCCTGGGATGGGTGTCCACTAGTCACAAGTCCCTTGTACAGGCTATTAAACCCAAGCCTAGAGAAAATAAACATATTCGAGAAGGTCCCCTGTTCCTTCCAGTCGCGCTGAAGCCACAGGAGGTCCCCCACCTGCAGGAGCCATGTAAACAGGAAGCAGCATGCCTGTAGCAGAACAATGCTGTGGCCTCCTGGGCTGGGTGACAGCTCGGCTGG